ACTAATTTCTCTAACTTTTCTAAATTCTCTTTTTTATTTCTATTTAATATTCTTTTCTTTTTCTAGAAGCTTCTCTCGATTATTTATATAATTTCTTATTTCCGATTTCTTTTTAATTTTTATTTCTAATTTCCGTTTATTATTTTATTTAAAATTAAAGATATTTTCTTTTTTAGATATCTTTTCTGGATTTAGAAATAAGCTTTTTTACTAAAACTAATACTACTTTTATTCTAGTCTTTACTATAACTAAAAATAATATATAAATTAATAATATAACTTTATTTCTAACTAAGATCTAATTTATATTATTTTAGTATAATATTTCTTATTTTATTTCCTCTATTTGTTTTCCTTTTATAATTAGCCTCTATTTTTATTATTCTTATATATTATACTAATAATTATATCTTATAATTAACTTATATTTAAATTACTAAATATATTAAAAATTAATATAAGATATTAAAATTAAAATTTATATATTCTTAATATTTTAGTCTTAGGCTTAAAGTATTATAATAGCTCTTTTTTTTCCTAACTTACTAAACTAATAATTTGTCTTATAAATATTTCTTAGAATTTTATAAGAGTATTATTTTAATTATAAAGTTTTAATTTTTCTTATATTATTTACTATAAAATATATAGGAAAGAAACTATAATAAAATAAAAACCTATATAAAGTATACTAAAATACGAAACGTAACTTAATAGTAAAATAATAAAATTAAAAGTATAAATAGTAAAATATAAATAATATGTAGTATATAGTATATAAAAGCTTAATTAATTAAATATTAAAAAGGAATTATTTTTTAAAATTATAGAAAAACTAGCTTTTTTATATAATTTCTATAAGTTATATATAAAAGGCTATAGTTTTTATTATATAACTAAAATCTTAAAACTATTAAAATAATATAATTTTTAGTAAATATAGCCTGCTATATTATATTACCTAATTTTCTAATTATTACTAATTATAAAACTCTCGAGTATTTTAGTATTAAAAAGCTTTTAAATAAATAATAAATCTAATAAATAGGTTTCCTATTATAATTCTATTATTAAATTATTTATTAGCCGGATAAAAATAATACTATTACTAATATCTTATCTTATAAAAATAAGCTTATACTAACTTAAAAGCAGGTTAAAGAAACTAAAAGAACTAAATAAATTATTTTACTAGATCTAATTCTCGCTTTTACTAAAATAAAAATATAGCTTTTATTTTTACTAAAATAAAAGAAATAAATAAGCTATTAATTATAATTAAAGTTTTATAAATTAATTAAATAAACCTGGCCCTAGAAAATAAATATAGAAAAGCCCGAAAAAATATAGATTTATAAAAAATATTAAATAGCTATATATTTTATAATAAAAAACTTATTATATTAAACGAATATAATAATTTATAAATTAAGCTTTTATAATAAATTCACGATATAATTATTATTATATATTCTAGTTAAAATAAAATAAAAATTCTAGTTTAAAAACTTTACTAGTAATTTATTTTCTTTATAAATATTAATTACTTTATAATAAACTATTATAATTATTAAAGATCTTATAAGCTAAGAAATAAAATACTAGACTTATTATATTTCTTATTAGTTCTTTTAAGAATATAAGATAATTTATTTATAAACTTCTATATTTCTAGCTTTATAAATAAGAAATATAATAATCTATTTATTATAGTTAATTAATTATTTAAATAATATATAAGCCTATTAATAACTAAAAATACTATAGTTAGAATTACTACTAGCCTATTTTATTACTATATCTAGTAATTTCGAAGTTCTTTTCTTATTATTACAAATAATTAAAAACCCTAGTTTATTTCGGACTTTATAAATAAACTATGAAAATTAACTAGAACTAAACTAAAGCTCTTAATTATAAAATATACCCAAACTAATAAATAAATAGAAATTATTAACTAGATTATTAATACCCGATTTTATTTCTTTATTAATTACTTCTAGAATAATTAAATAGATTTATTTCTAATACTTAATACTATAAATACTATCTGCTTATATAAATTAACTAGCTTATTTCCTTTAGTAATTAATTATAAATATAAATTTAGGCTAAACTTTAATTAGATACTACTAATAATAGAGTTTAAAATACTAAAAAAGAAACTTAATTAGAAAGAAGTATAATAATAGGCTAAAAGAATTAATATAACTATTAATTATATCCGAGAATATATAATAATAGTTTAGGAGTATTAAGCTAAATAAGCTAATAAAAAATAGTAAGAATTAGACTTTAGTCTAGAGAATATAGTTTATATAATTAAAAAAAACATAAAAAACAGACTATTTATCTAATAAATTAGATTATTTCTTTACTAGATTATTTAAAATTAATAAAATAGTAAACTATTTATACTAATTAACCTTTTCTTATTATATAAAATTTGGCTAATCTTTTATATAAATAGACTTTATAAAGATTCTACTAACTTATTATCTAATTAAACTAATAAAGGGCCTAATTCTACTAAAATTAATAATAAACTTAAATAGAAAGTTAAGAAAATCCTCTCTTTTAAAATACTTTATAATAAGCTTTATTATAAGATTAAATAAAAGAAATAGAATATAGATAATAAATAATACTTTATATTAAACTTTAAAAACTTAATATTTAAGCTATATGAATTTCATAAATAAAACTTTAATAAAATAAGACTTTTTATCTAGCTAAATAAATAAATTTAATATACTAAAGAAAATAAGTTTAATAAAAACTATCTAAATAATAATAAACCTTAATTTAATAATAATGCTTTTATAACTAGAGAAAAAGAAAAAAAACCTAGATATTTCTCGGGTTTTATCTAAAATCTAGTATATTTCTTTTATTTTATTATATTAGTATTTATTCTCTTTTCTAGAAATCTAGGTAAAATATCTTTCTTTATTATACTAGATTATACTTTACTATCTAGGCAAATTATAAAATAAAAAAAAGTAAATTCTTAAAACTAAGCTAAAAATAAATACTCGCCTATATTAGTTCGAAATATTATTAAAAATCAAGGAAAATCTTTCTAATTACTTTAACTTTTATAATCTTAACTATTTATATTACTACTATTACTTTAATAGAACTATTAATAAAAATAAAATAAATAAGAAATCCCAGTAATATATTATTTATAGCCGGATTAAATAAGGCTATTTACTAGATCCTAAATAACTTGAATAATAGTAGTAATATTTTAACTTTAGTAACTATAACTATTATTAATATAATTACTAGCTAAATTACCTTTATAAACGAAAATAGTAATTCTTTTACCCAAAAACAGATTAATATATAAAATACGGCCCGTACTACTTTTAAGAAAGTACTTAAAATTATTATAGAAAATATTTTAGTAAAGTATTCTAAGAATAATAAAATAAAGAATTTAGTTATTAGTAATAATAAGTCTAATAGTCTAATAAGCGGAATAGATAGTACTAATAAAAAATATCTTATTAACCTTACTAAACCAGATACTAAGAAAATTAATAAAAATAAGGCTAGTATATCCAAGAAGTATAAGGTATTAGATAATAACAAGAATTCCAATAATAAAAAGACTAATAATAAAGAAAATTCTAGTAATAAAGAAGATTCTAATTATAATAAAAGTAGCTAAACTAGTATTAAAATGCTTATTATAACCAAGAAGCATATAATACCAAGTAGTAATTATAATATAAAGTAATAATCTAAAACCAAAAGCTAGTAAATAATTCTAAAGGCTAAAGCAAAAGACTAATATTCTATAAATATTAATGAATTAGTATATAATACTATTTAAAAAGTCGGAAACCCCCTTAGAGGTTTCTATAAGACCAGAATTATAAAGCTTAAGATCCGGAAATATAATAATAAAGTAGCTAAAATAGCTGGCCTTAATATATAAGTTGCCAAAATAAAAAAATAACTTAAGGAGATATATATTAAGCTCGAGAAGGCCCAGAAGTTAATTAAATAGCTCGGAAGCGGCTTAATCGAGCCAAATATTACTACCCTAACTAAGAAGAAGGGCAAGCAAGCTATTATATTAAAGCCTGCCTTAATAGATAGACTTAATCTACTACTTCTATTTAAAGACCGCCCGATAATAATAGTCTTAATATCGGCCATGGCCTATACAGCACTTCCAGACCATATTTTTAATATAAGTATAGGCATAATACAAGTAATAGATAATAAGGACTGGCCGGAATATACTAGGAACTAGGTTATTTTGGCAAAGTTAAGACCACGCTTCGATTATAAGTAAGCTATTGGGATTAGACAGAATAGGGTTAATAGCCGCTATTTCCTTTTTTCTTTTCTATATTATAGCTAAATAATTCCCTAAATAAGGGCATTTAGACTTCTCTTTAGGGAGGAGTAATGTGACGGCTGGCGTAAGGGCATAATCTGCCAAGGACAGGATATCGGAAACAGGCACAAAACGAAGCTAAGCCGGAATTACTTGGGCGGAATAATACTAAAGGTCGAGGCACCCTCCCTACTTTGTTCTATAGCTTAGTATTTTCCAATACATGAGATTCTTTGAACTTTGAGCCTTCGACTATTGCATTGATCCCGCCGTCACAGAAGGTTTACGAAGACCGTTTACTCTGGTGGTGGCTCTTAGCCAGCTCAAAAGGGACTTTCTCACTGGGTCTAATACCCTGCTTACCCGCACCTATACTCAAAACATACGCACTAGCAAATTAAACGGGGGGGGGGGGGGGGGGGGATACAGTAATAGAGGCCAACCTCTCCTCCTTTGCATGGACCAATAAAATTTGGAGCCGAGAATTGCCTGCGGGGGACGCAGGAACTGAAGCAAGTGCAGGGAACAGGGTTGCAAATCGATAAGCCGCAACCCACGACAACACAGTGAGGAATTACCTGCGAGTAACCCTGACTTGTATTAGACCCTGACTGTCAAATCGGCACTGGAACGCACAACATTGCAGGGCAGACGGCGCTACGGAGATCGCGGCATAAGGTAACGGGAATAGTTTTACAAGCCATAGCACATTACCTGACCATCTCAAACTCCAATTGCAAATCCATCTCACATTACACACGGACAGCCCCAAGTTTCCTCCTCATAGACGGCCATTGCCCCCCAAGGAAGTAACAGGGTGATTCGACCCGGAATAGTCAGCATTCTCGAACTCCCCCTCACCCTGCATAACACCCCCCACGCCCGCCTCCTCCTTCTTCCTGATTCCCAATCCCTTCGCCTCAATATCCATCTTATCCGTACCCACAGCCCCAATGCCCTTCCTCGTCTCCTCGTCAAACTCAAACTTCGCACTGCCAATCGGCTTCACATGCAAAAGATACATCTGATCGACCTCCTCCAGCGTCTTCCCACTACTCTCAATCAAGAAAAAGAACACCACGACAAACGCCGCCAAATTGCATCCTGCAAAGACGTATCCATATGCGTATTGGATGTCTCCAGTGATGAAAGGAGTGAAGAACGCAAGCATGAAGTTCCAGAACCAGTTAGCTGAAGTAGCGCACGCCATTCCCACGGCGCGGTAACGGTAAGGGAACATCTCGCCAATGCAAGCCCAGACCAGCGGGCCCCACGTCGTTGCAAAGCCGACGATGAAGAGGCACGCGAAGACGATCATGACAGTGCCGGCTGTTTTCGCGGTCGAGGAGCCAATCTCTGCGTCTTTGAATATGAACTGCCCAACGGAAGCGAAGACGATGAAGCACATAAACTGCCACAGGGCCGCGATATACAGTGACTCTCGTCTCCGGAAGTGCCTTGCCATCCAGACGCCGAAGAAGGTTGCTCCGACGTTCACGCTGCCCAGGATCATGGCTGTGACGTACGAGTTGTCGATGCCAACGCCTTGGAAGATCGAGGTCCCGTAGTAAAAGAAGTAGTTTGCCCCTGTGAGTTGTTGGAGCATTTGCAGCGCCATGGCGAGCGCTACGCGGTAGAACATGCGGGGCCCAGTGATGGCTTCGTACCAGGGGTGATTGCCGGCTGTGAGGCGCATTACTTGCTCGATTTCTGCGAATTCGCTGTTGAGCATGGGGTGTGTTTCGGGGAGACCGTAGAACTTGGACATGGTGGTGCGAGCGCGGGAGGGGTTGTTGTGGTTGAAGTCGTGGCGGGGTGATTCTGGTAGGAAGATGATTCCGACACCGAGGATGAGGGCCCAGATCCATCCTACGCCCATGGGGATACGGTAGGAGCCTGTGTCGTTGCGAGATTCGGTTCCGTAGTTGATGCAGTCTGCTGTGAAGATACCAATGGTGATGAAGAGCTGGTAGCATCTGAAAAATATTAGGTCGGAAACGATAGTGGGATGAGAGAACTTACGCGACAACAGCTCCTCGGACGTTGACCGGGGACGTTTCGGACATGTAGAGAGGTACCAGGACGGAGAGAGCACCGACACCAAGACCTGCTGTCCATCTTCCCATAACAATGCCAACCCAGTCTCCAGTTCCTACTGCAACTTGTGCGACAACACCAATTGAGAAGATCCCACACCACGCTGGGATGCACCATTTTCGACCATATTTGTTTGCCAATGGACCTGCAATCAAGCAACCAATCAAGGTTCCAATCGATAGCTACAGAGATTAGCGATATGGCATGCGAAAGAGAATTCCTGAACCCACCAAGCCGACTATCAACCCTGAGCGGACGTTGGTGAAGTAGTAACCGTACTGGTGTTCATTGGTGACAGGAGTACGTTCACCGAATCTTTCCAAGAACACTCTCATCTCCAAGAATCCAGAGATCTGTCCAGTGTCGTAACCAAAGATGAACCCTCCCATTGCGGTCAAGATAGTCATGACGACTGTACGAAGTGTGATGCCGACTGAGAATTTCCCTTCGGGTTGGCCATTACCTTTCTCTGGCTGGTCCAGGCTCCTGTGCTTCTCCGAGGCGACGGGGTCTTGAGGAGCTGCGGGAATGTCCATAGAAGTCGCAGCAGAGGGGACTGCGGTGCTGGAGGAGCTGCCTGCTCCATGGCGGTTGCCGCCGACTTGGAGTGTCGACATGACTGTAGTGAAGGGTAATACACGGGTAAAGAAGGAGAGATGGAACGCGGTGAAGCGGGCGACGTGAGAGATTATATGCTAGCAACTTACTAAAATAGCGAGGAAGACAAATGCCAACTTACTCGTGCAGAGTCCTCCTGGGCACGCAGATATGCGGTACCTGATGGGTGTTTACCTAGCGTAGATGGATGATGACGATGTTGTTCCTCAGGCTTGCTAAGACATCGGGGCTGACACTTTCGAGGCCGCTTTTCCTGATAAAGCAACAGCCAAGGACTCAGCCCAAGGCCCGTGGTGGAGATTTCGGAGTCCCCAAGCCTCGCAGCCTCGGCGGTAGATATTACAGATGTTGGTGTCGAGGTGGGATGTTGTTTGAAAGATGACGTTGCTGCCGAATTCCTCGTAGAAAAATATCGACGGCCCCACTCGGCCAAGCCCTGCAGGTATCCGTCTGAGCCGCATACACGTGAAATCTACCCCGATTTTTCTCCCAAGCGGCGAATGGCGGTCTTTGTCTTTGCCTCAGATCCCGGTGCAGGTCTGATCTCGTCCCGATGAGATTTCGAGAAGTTTGGCAACGGTCCTTTCTCGGTGCCATTCTGGAGACCTTGAAGACCTTTAAGACCACGAGTCTTGAGTTCTCCAAAAGGTTAATCAGGTGGCTGATCACGACTCGCTGACTCCCGGGAGTGGCGTGCCAGTCCCGGCGATGCGGCTAAGCGTTCGAGAGGCATTCCGAGAGCCGTGATGACGAGGGGTGGATTCCAAAAAGCCAGCAGTGCGAGAGGAAGCAATTCTGAACAGATCACGAGATGTGAAGAGGGGCCGTGACGTCAATAAAGCTTAGTCGAAGTCAAAGGATGTAATCCAGGCTTTGGGTAAATATCCTCAGGTTCCCGAGTCCCAAATCCCACAGGTTTCGGCGAAACGGCGATGATTGGGAGTTGTCGTCTGGAGATACTATCTCAACCAATCAACGTCTCTGATATTCCCTCCGTAGCACATGGCACCTGCATTGAGTGCCTTAAAGAATGGCAGCTGTCATCGATTCCGACTAGGAGATACAGACCTGGGGAAGATACGGGGCTGAGACAGGGACTAACATCTCAAACGGTCTAAACCGTCGTTGCGGCCAAGTCATGACGGCATACTGAGCACAACTTGTGCGGCTGATTGGGGGAATTAGAACAACAGAAATTCTAGAACACTTCTGACTTTTGAGCTCCTGGGAGCACATACAGGAAGCGCGTACCATCCGGACGATATCTGCCCAGTCTCAAACCTTGTGAACTCTCAACGCGGTCGCGTCTGGAGGAAAGAGGAGCCGGATCTAAAGGAATATAGAGAGCAGAACATTGCTGGCCCCCGCTGTCCCATGGGAATATTTGTCGTGAGGGAGGGGATGCAGTCACTCGACGTCTCTTCTACTTTCGTCTCTGCGGAGATGAAACAATCAGAGACATTTGGCCGTCTTGATCACCAGTCTCAGAGTTCACAGCCTCACTGGAGGATTGGAAACGAAACATCAGATCATCCTCGAAAGATAAATTCTCCGCCAGAGAGAGTCCTGCGCGTCCCAATACGGAGAGGGGCGCAACCCCCTGCGGGCACGGGTTTTGAATTTGAAGAGAGGCAGAAATTCCACGGCCACGGCTTTCCCCATGGAGAATTAATAGAGTTGTCGTGCAGTGTCCGGATCAGCACTTAAAGCTGCGTTCTACACAGGCTAAGCTCGCCCAGACAGGATAAATCCTCCGCAGAACTTTGGAGTTCTCAATCCATCTTGGCAAGCCCTGTTGTGAGAATGAGGAGTCGTTATTGCTCAAGCACCAGACTGCTACAGCACTCATTGGCGGCTCAGTGCCCCCTGCTCCTGCGTGCTCCTGCGTCTCAATACTGTATGGGAATAATCTGAGCAATGACAAGTTTGACGACTTGAGGAGCACAGCGAGGGCGTCCGTGGCAACAGTTGTATCCCATTGGTGGAAGTTTTGACCCCTTTGACCCCTTGGCCGATCGCTCTCCCCACACTTCGGGTGGTCCCCCCCCAGCTTCTGGACCTCGACCTCCAGATGCTTGGCCACCCAGATCACTCCAACCCCTCCACCCCCATCCCAGTCCAGCCCCCGTACTCTGTACCTCGCGCCGCCTCGCCCAGCAGCAGCACGGCTCTGTCGGTGGAACAATCTGCACCGAGCTGCTCTCCGCGCTGCTGCAATTTTTCCATGCGGCCCGCCAATTGCTGCAGGTGATCCTGGGGTCGACATTGGCTGGGAAAATGCACCACAATTCCTGTAGCCGCGTTCGGTACAATCGCTCCCTCCATTGATCGATCTTCCTCAGTCCTTGCGCCCTGAGTCCAACTTCATACCTCCTGTACCATCCAAACGAAAAACTTCCGGCGGAATTTCAATGTGCCTCTGCTCGGCAACGTTGCCATCACGCTGCAGCGACCCGGGCTTACCAAGAACAGATACCACAGCTTCGAAGACGCTGCCTGCCAGATCCTCCTGCTCCAGCGAATGTCTGCCACCAGATCTGGACTGCGGGACCACGGGCTGCCATGTAGTACAGCTGTCTCAAGTATCCAACCGATTCGACCCTGAGCTTCGTTTCTTATCTTAAGCACCAATATCAGCCTCGTTATAGCTGTTGACCTGCCCTCGTCACAGAGCTATTGCGCCGCACAGCAGACACCCTCCACTAAAGGACTTCATTATCCATCCGAGAGAGCCGCGGCTGCATGCCATGCGAGAAGGCTGCTGGACACACCTCCCCCCCACCTCTAGCATCATTCTCGAATACACAGCGCCTCCTCAGACCTCCCCGAAAACCCTGAGCAAGTCTAGGGATTTCTCCAACTTGGTGGCAGCAGCCCACCGCGAAGTCATGGCGACCAAGCAGCTGCAAGATGCTCCTACACCAGCAAGGCCGAAAAGCACAAATGGGGTGATCAATGGGACGAAAGCTGGCACGGGTGACACGCGGATAGTGGTCATAATATATGGGCCAGGACAAGAGAAGATTGTCTCGGTTTTTGCAGACGTGCTTGGGAAACCATACCGGCTGGCCCCAAGCTTCCAAGCGGTGGGAGGTGGAGACCATGGAACAGTAATAGGGATAGGGGCCAGCGATGCGAAGGCCGATATTGGAGCGCGGAACAAGATGCTCATGGTTGCGATTAACGCACATTGCGTGAACCTTGGAATGCCCCCAGATCTCGACTTGTCAGTTGCCTCGGACTACGAATTCTTATATACAGAGCAACCATTTTTCCGGAGGGATCTTTCGCGGTTCATTGCATTCACACTGGGGCAGATCAGTCACCATGAAGCATTAATCACGAAACCAAGAACGTATTTTATTTCCACCACATTCCCAGATGTACGGACGGCGTTGTCGAATTTGGATATTCTTTCTGTTGGATCAGATGCGGTGGAAATACGGGTGGATCTGCTGAAGGAACCATTGCCGGATGGGACGTTCAGTTCTGTGCCGAGTATGAGCTATGTTGGAGAACAAGTCATGCTTTTAAGGCAAAGAACCGAGCTCCCCATCATTTTCACTACGAGATGTACTCGCGAGAATGGCCGATTTCCAATGGACAACCCGGAACTGTACTACCAATACCTGTATCGAGCAATACAGTGGGGATGTGAGTACGTCGATGTGGAAATATGGTTACCAGAAGACATTCGACGACGGCTCTATGAGCAAAGAGGAAACAGTCGCATCATATCGGCCTTCCACGATTTCTCCGGTACCTTCAAGTGGCCATCCCCTGAAGCCCAGTCCATCTTCCAAGAGTCTAGGAAATACGGCGACATTGTCAAAATGATAACCATCATAAACTCGATGTCGGAGAACTACGAGCTCGAGTACTTCCGTTCACAAATCAAAGCCAACAATCCCGATGGGCCTCCTTTATCAGCAGTCAACATGGGCCAACTTGGTCAGTTTTCACGAGCAGTGAACACAGTCTTCAGTCCCATCACTCACCCACTTCTCCCCATCGTCGCAGCGCCTGGCCAAATGAGCGCAGCAGAGATCAACGGCGCCCTCAGCACCATGGGCCAACTCCCCAAGAAAAACATCTACGCTATCGGCTCCTTCCGATCCACGCCCCAAGCAACCTTCTTCGAAAAATGCTTCAACGAGCTCGGCCTCCCCCACAACTTCGCCACCGTGGACCGTGGCGTGAAAGGCTCCGTTGAAGCCTTCTGCTTACAACCCAACTTCGGCGGCGCTTACATCAACCCCCCTTTACCTGCATCCCAGCCCAACATCCCGCAGCTCAGCCTCTCCGACGCAGCCCGCACAATTGGCGCTATCGACACAATCGTCGTCCGAGGTGAAGGGGCCTTCTCCTTCATCGGCGACAACGCAACATGGAAAGGCATCCGCGCCACCCTGACTCGCGACTTCGCGCCCTCAGCGTACAAGGACCGCGCGGCTATCATCCTCTCCAGCAACGGTGAAGACGCCGCCTCTGTCATCTTCGCACTCCGCTCCCTCAATATTGGGAAGATCTACACCGTAGGCTTCAAAGCCCAAGGTCCTCTTGCTTCAGGAGTCGAGCCATTCACTTCCATCGAGTCCGTGCAAAGAGTCGACCAACCATTCGCTATCATCTCCGCTCTTCCTCCCGATAAGTCCCACCTAGTGCAACCTCTCTTGCGGCACTTCAGCAACGGGAAGCACACCTCCAGCTCTCACCTTCCTGGGTTAGTCAGTAATGGAAACGGGAACGGGAATGGCTTCGCGAAGGGCAAAGTCTTCCTCGATCTTGCGAATGGACCAAGGAAGGGCGATCCGCTGGCTGTGGCGGAGCAGAGCGGCTGGACGGCGTATGGGGTCGCGGACACGAGTGCGTTCACAACGGTTGAGACGCTGAGGTTACTCGTCGGACAGAATGTGCCGTATAGTTTTGTGAGGTTGGCTAGTGGGAGGGGTTTGTATTAGCTCATTCATCACCTTTCCCTCCTCACTTACCCTCCTCGTCATTACTCTGCTTCATCACCATCTCGGACATTCGGTGGCTTTTTGGTCGATTGATGTAATTGGGGTGGCAAAGGGACGAAGAGACAGCTGCATCAGTTGCGGCGTATGCTGGCGTTTGAATCCTTGTTTTTATGAGCGGCAATGGGGACGCGGATGTAGATGGACACGTTCAGTTGTGGAGGAAGGCGGTGCATGGATGGATTAGATGTGTTGTGAGTCTTTACGTACGCACACTAATGTGAGATTGTTTGTTCAATGAAGATATTTACCTCTCCCTGTTCCTTTTCCAGATTCACCGCAGGCCTTTGGGCGCGAGTGACGGAATTGCTTTGGAGTGTACAAAAGGTTTTAGCATGGTATAAAGTTACGGAGAGGGATGTCTCTGTACCTAGCCACCTGATAGAAAAAACCCCTCTATTTCAGGTGCTTTGCAGTCTGGGGTACGTCCCGCTAGTCTGCCTTGCAAGCCGGAAGAATCAATGCCTTCCTCGTCGACTCTCCGAATACTGGAAGCGAGGCAGCCTACCTTGAAGCAGCCCCAGATGCTTTCGCGCAAGAGAGACTTATTGAGCAGGGCTTTAGCACAGCTCCACATGTGAGAGTTACGGCAGCGAAACCCAACGATGAACCCTGAATTGTCGGAGTCAGCAATTTCTGAGGCAGGGAATGAAAGGGAAGCCAACGAGATTTGAGGATTCTAACACATAAGTCATGCTCTAAAACCATACTATTTAAAATTGGTATTGGCGAGAAGAGAAAGGGGTTGCGTACTAACGGGCATACTATTTCACAATGCAAGCGGAAAAGTCCATCTGCAGCCTCACTTTGTCCACTCTTTGTATCGAGGACAGTCGATAGATATGGATGTGTCGCTTCGGAAAATTCAACGATGGCCGTGTACGCTGGTAAGAAAACATCGTATTCGACTTCTGATGTAAAGAAAATAGCGGCCAGTTGAGATGTGAAGTAGAGGATGCAAACGCAGAGCCCACGAAACTCCGCTCCCTTCTTCCAGTCTTCCCCTTTTCAACTGCTGACTCGGGAAATTTCGAAGTATCCGGCGCTCGTCTCGCGCTGCTGCCTCCGTCTTCACTCAGGCAGAAAGAAAGGGGATGCAGGAAGGCAAAGTGCTCATGCAGCTTCTGAATATCCAAACCATTCTTGACAACAAGCTTGGTGTATGAGGCGAGTCCAGAGGCTCGTCTCGAGAGGCCCTGATATTTTGGGGGCCGTTTCGTGCATGCAGAGTGTAAAGATCGAGACTTGTGGACTGAGGTGAAGCGTCGTGTTGATGGGATGTACCGGGATGAAAGGAAGGTAATGGTCGAGGCCCTTGGGTATTAGATTTCGATGGACTGAAGCAAAAGATGGGGAGTCAGTTGGGTATCAATCGCAAGTCGTCCCAAATTTGATGCAACGCTCGCATTGAGGTCTTGACTCGTCGCATTTTACCCTTCTGATTCTAGATCAGAATATTCAGCCAGGGCTTCTCTGCTGGTCCGTATGGTAAGAACAACTCACTTGCAGGTTCTGCAGCCGCTTCTCGACTTGGGCCTGCTAGCTCTCTTAAGCTTCTTTTTCATATTTAAAGTGTTCGCGTCTATGGTATCGGGCGGAAGGGAAGATTGACTGCCACCTCCAGAAGCTAACTGTGGCTTGTGCGTGTCCTTCTCTGATAAAGAAAGCTGGAGGTTATTGCAAGTATGGCGCAAAGAGCACAAATGAAAGAACAAGAAAGAAAGAGAAGCATCTCGCGATCGAGGACAAATAAAGATCCCCATGGATTGATGCAGGGCAAGCATTACTTACCTAAAGTACCAACTTACGCCGTCCTCGCGCATGAAATAAATCTCAAAGCAACAGGGTTAGTCAATGTTCGTCCGGGGGTTCACATCTGAGTGATTTTAATACGAGTACAACATCGTAGATGAATCTGATTTGCTGAGTTGTACCCCGTACTGTAGCGGATCCTGGGTGCCAAGAGAGGCGAGGTCTGCTTTACAGCTTACAAGTTACTGCGGCTGAGCGCTTCTCGTAGGTTATTAATAGAGATCGTAGGGATCCCTATAACATAGGCTAAAAGCACCATAATTACATTTGAGATTTTCCTCAGAGGCCAAGAAGAAGAAAAGCAGCGGTTTTGACTTAATAGAGAAGAGAAACATCACCCGTCACGTGATGGATATTGAAACGAAGACTTATTGAGAGCCTACCTTAGGTTTCGCACGTAGCTTAGCTAAGCTACGGGCTTTTGCCACGCTGAAGCTACAACTGAGCGACCCCTGAAAGCGCACTGTAAGCTTCAGCTCTATAGGGTAGTAAGGCCGTACAAGTTTACGTCCAAGCATCACGTGGTAGCCGCCTTGTAAAGCAATATAAAAAGGGCATCTGGACTCCCACCTACCAGGGGCCGCATTAGCAAGTGCAAATGCAAAGAGTAAAAGCCAGATTTTCCCACTTTAAGAGATTATATTGTGACCTAAGAGGTCCCCTCCCAGTAACTTTTAAAAGGGGGCTTAGTTTGAAGAGCAAAGTGTTTATTCTTGGAGGAGGGCCCCCAAAGCCCCCTTAAGGAAAGGAGGAAGTAGAAGAAGGCAAGAGGAGTCTTTAATCTTGGGGGGGGGGGACCCCCCAAACCCCCCCTTAAGACTCCGGCAGCTAGTCAAATATTTCTCCAGGTCATGTGACAGTGACATTTTCTGACACGTGATTTTTTTTGCCACACCAGCCCACCGCGCGTAACTAAAACCCAGCTTCCGACAAGTCTAAATCAGGCTTTTAATTAACCTTACAAATCTTCAGCATCACTCACAAGATTCACCGCGTGGCCCGCCTTTGTGACAATCAATGGATCTTCAGTAGCTTTGAAAACTGGAAGTCGTCGAGGTAATAAACAATTCCGCGTTAGAGCCCCAATGAAGAAACTTCACACGTTCGGATGATCACTGGCTGAATATTGACAACGGATGAGAGGTAGTGGTTCCCTTGACAACGAGCCGAAGATTGACAACAGACAACTCGTAACTGTGAATCGTCTGATCACCAGGGATACATTGAGTGGCAAGACTAAGAAATACAAAGACAGGAATCTGATTGTCCTTGTGGCAGAGGAGCAATCATTTGGGGGGCAATTGATTTCTGTCACTCCGCGTACACCGGGTGCTGTCGTCGATGTTGTAATCGATAATCAGTTCGTACTAAGCCTTGGGATTATAAATAGGAAGAATATGGTGGGGGTTGGTGAGGGAGTAGTCACATAACTTTCGAAAGAGAGTGAAGCCATGGCCAGCTGGACCTCGTACATACTCTGGTTTAGCTATGGATATAAAAGGAAACATGACGGTGAGAGCAAGAGTCAGAGTCCATTGCTCCAGCAAACACCGGTACAGGTCGCTCCTCTGATGGTGAAGAGTCCATTGCAACTCCTTTTGATTCCGATGGCCATGAATGACACCTCAATCCAGCGAGACTCGGGAGTAGAGGGGGGCCTAGGAAAGTTCATTTGAACCTCTGCCACCACTTGAGCAGCCCTTCCAACTAGCTCGTTGACAGCAAATGAGCCTTTGACAACAGGGAAGCAGATCGCTTATACACAACTGTAGAAGCCAGCACGAGACTTTCAGATGTTCGTTTGGATCTATGGTTTCAGGCTTCAGACCTCAATCCCAATAGGGACAAACGGCATTGACCGTCTACCATGCTCACTGGTAACTTCTTCGTGGACACCATATCGCTTTTGTCTCTGCTTTTGGTGAAAGAAGAAACTCTATATACCCGGTTTGAAGATAGCTTGGTGAAGTCTGGGCTGATAACTGCTTCATATTGGTGTCTGGGTAATATCTTTCTGGACCAGGGTGGGTCAGCAGAAAAAGCCGAAAGGGCAAAACGAGCCACGCATTTGCAGTAGCGTACCTGAGAATCCGAACGAACCGCAATGCTAAGGTGGATCGTTCATCTTTTGTTTGGCCTCCACTCGACTTGAACTGGATCCTCGAAGTAGACAGAAGTTGAGAAATTCATGTATAGGCCCCTGTGCATGAGAGGACAAACACGGAGAAGATGTTCTTGACGAAAGGTTATGTTGATAAGCAGTTGCAAACACGTGCCAATTTTGACAAGAGCGTACTAGATTTCAGTTGACCAAGAAAGAATCCTAAAGCTTGGGCAGATCACTCAATTCAAGAATTCATCGCTTGTCATACACAGATCTGATGAGATGACTGACAATGAAGAAGAGGTGACATCAAGAATGTAATCCATCTTGCTCTAGTGTATGACCGCAGTCATGGAGAACGTGGCTCCAGATGGGGAGGTGAGACCTCGAGCGATTCTGGATCGAAATGTGAAAACGAAGAAGCTGCATAGAAGATGAGGGTTTCCCGCATCCTCTTTAAATATGTTCTCGCCATGGCGCTTCGACGATCAACAAAATCCACTTCGAGGATTATTATATAGACGGAGAAGCAGTAACAACGAGAACTTCATGACCTGGTCCTAGAATTGGTGGGAAAGCGAAGCGTGATCAGGCACGTAATCCACGACCTAAAGGCAGCTACAGGCTGTGTTCCATGGAAGGGAAGGACAAACGGCGTTGACGCTAGCTGGAAAGAGGTGATGGGGCTCGAGCAGCTCACTTGAATCTCAAGTTCAGTATCACTCTCTTATAATATACTTCCGGGGAAATACTGGACAGCAAAGAAAATCTTGACAGCAAAAACTTCCTCGATTATTGGCGAATCTCAGGTTTCAGTTCCAGGCTTCTGTTCTCAACGGAACATGTATTGTCCTGCTCGCCCAGCGGTCAAGTAGTGTTGCGGGTGCTATCGATCAACGCCAGTCCCCCTTGGCCTGGAGGGACGGCGGCTCTGACTCCGACTTTGTTGTGTGTTCTCCGGTCATGATCATTGGCTAGCTTCATGTCCCCCAACCCGATGCCGAAGAGAAAGACTGATTTGCTGATAAACCACCGCTGGTGTTCTCCTCTCCTGGTCGGCAAACCGTTCCTGCTGGGGTGGGAGGCCGGAAACTGTCTGGCAGGGAGGATGTTCTCGAAGGCCAAGGGTGTAGTGTGAGGAAATGGGTTCCTGAAGGTGAGGGCAGGTATTTCTGGTGAACTGTTTTGAAGTCATCGCTTTGAACAAATTGTTGCGATAGGAGCTGACCTAGCGGGCTGCAGAAAATCCGAAAGAGGGTGATACGTAGGCGGCTAAACATACCTGATAACAATTCTTCACATCACGTTGAAGAGACTTGGGGGTAAATTACTTCGCTTGAAGATATCGCGATTAGACTTGAATATGACATATCGTGCCCGGCAAAGAGAACAGATTTGTAATCCGAAGAAAAGGGCAGGTGACTGTCCTGATCTTGGAGGGATAAACGGTCCAAAGGAGCGGGGACATGCAGAAAGTGCTCTGATGCTTCTTTGCATTCGAGCCCAACGCGAGAGCATTAAGAATGTAAGATAAGCCCAGGAGAAGAAGTACTCCCCATCATTAGGTCCTTCGTCTGAACTTCTCAACACGGTGCACCCATGCCATTGCAAATCGAAATAGAAATGAAACTGTGCCTCCCCGATCTCTCTATACAAACCCGAAACACTCTTACGCATTCCCAACACTCTTAATCTCGGCCACACTCACTTCCAAAACTCGCAAGAAAACTTTGATTTCTGAATCCGGGGAAGCACTCCCTCCATTTCTTTTCCCTTCAGGCGAGTACGATTCGGCAATTCAGGGAGCTTCACCGAAAAAGGTCCCCCCCCCCCCTTCTCCTCGCTTCGGACGTATTCCCTTTCCGGGTACACGAGCGGAAGGGCCCTTCCAACCGCGCCAACAGCATCGCCAGAACCACACCTCATGAGATGTGATCTACGCGGGTAGATCGATCGTGCTTGCCAGCTTTTGATTTTAAAAGTGTACTAGAAAGTAGGTTTCTTCCGGGCTGCACGTTCCAAACCAGAGACGGGGGGTCTCTATCCGAGGAGGTTCATGGATAGGGAGGTCAGGGACGAAGGTTGGTGAGGGTTTTAACGAGGGTGACCTTGCACCAATTCGACGAACCCTGCGGGGCGGACGCAAAAAGACGGTGGGACTGCGGGGAAGCTGGTGACTGCAGTGGTGCCGTTTCAGAGGGCACCAAATTTCAGCACTTAGATTCCCTTGTCGAGTCTCCGGTGGGCGCTCGTGTAACCGAGTAGTCAGAACTGTCAGAGTACCTTTCGTAGCTAGCTGAATTTATATTGCACGGCCTGAATAAGGTTTAAGATTATATTGCCATCTGACAGTTGACTGGTATCCTAATTTTGGGGTCGCTCGGTTCGCTATTAGGGATCATCGTGGCTTGAAAGTGGTTCGAGAAGAAGTGTCTTTTGTGGGGACGGAGAATCGCTTGGGAGTCTGCAGCGCAGCTGGTAAACCCGTGTGCTCCATCGGGTGAGATGACAGGGGTTCAAAGTAACCATTTTCAAAGTAGCCAGATGAGATTTTCGTCAGGCATCAACTTCCCGTCTATATAGAGATAAGTAACCCAAATACTGTTTTCTAACTGTATTAAAACCATTTCTAACGTGTTCCCAAGCGAGGGGCTCCCACCGCCCCCCGGACCCCTGGCGAACCCTAACTAACCCGCACTTTAACCCCCTAACCCTAATCCCCTAGCCCCCTAACTAATGCGTTTCTAAACTGTATATGAACTATTATAAAAGCGTTATAGAACTAGTTCTATCTTGAGGTTGATAAGTCGATTTTCTTTAAGTCAAAAATCAGGCAGAAAGAACCCGGTGGGTCCTCATTCGCACCCCTGTAACTCACCCGGTGGAGCACACAGGTTACAAGTAACCTACTGTAGTGCGCTGCTGGGGAAGTTCTCAGCGGTTTCTAGAAGCCGAGGTGGGGGGTTCTCTCTCCGAATTAACCTCAGTGCGGTCGAGCCGCCAAGCAAGCTTACTGGTACGCGCCACTTTTCTGAATCGAATGAACTGTTTAGGAAGAAATGAAGGGTGAGAGAGGTGCAGGTGCGTATTTCCATGCATCTGATTCGGTCAAGGCCTCGGATCAACAGCGAGGATCCGAGGAACACGAGGAGGCGTCTCGCTCAGCTCTTCTTGCTCTTCTTAAGGTTTGTTGTGGTAGTACGTTGTACCACAGTACTACATACAACTAGTAAGTCCACATCTGTCTCGGCCGCAAACCGAGATGCGGCATCTGGCTCACTCATCGAGCGCTCACGCGTCACTTGGCCAAGTCTTCGGGAGTCATGGACCTGTCAGGCTAATTGCCCCTGCCTTAGATGCCGGAGGGCAATGGGGCAATGGAGAAATGGAGCAATGGGCGCTGGCAAAATCCAGGTTTTTTTTGGCGTGAGCAGCCACCGCGGCTCTCTTGTGACTTGCAAATGAGGAGGGGCCATGCAGAAGCGTCAAGCATGGGATGATGAGAGACCGCAGGGTCAGGATCGCATCGGCAATCCTTAATCCACATCCACACACCGCGGCAGAGGCCAGCCTGTCAGCGGCAGCTCTGCGGATAGGCGAGCAGGGACGACAAGGCACGGGCAGGATGAACTCGACTTCGACCGAACATCATCCCTCCCCGCCGCGTGCACCATCAACCGATTTGATGGCTGCACTGGCTGCACTGGCTGGCGACCCCAGTTTTGAGGCCAAAAATGCTCACAGCAACGCCCCGTCTGTGTTCATGGTTCATGGTTCGGGGGCTCACGGCTGCTTCGGTCACTCTGCCTGCAAGGGGGTACAAGGTGACTTGCTCACCACCGTTCTAGATAAATCATCTCGCCATCTGGGGATTCCCAGACGCCCTCATCTTCCCTGATACAAAGTCTCGACATCTCCGATCTTGATCCAAACCTACGGCCCTTCAAACACAGAACCGGAGAAAGCGAGGTCAAACACTGCGTTCCACCCCGCGGTGCACAGCTCTACTGTATATCAAAGCAGCTCGCCCTCCCCGCAGTCTCGAAACGAACGGAGCTGGAGCTGGAGCTCTCTCCTGTTCTCTCGCGCTCAACTCGTCTCAACCTCTCTGTCAAAAGAAAGGCTTGTTTCTCCGATACTTTTGAGGTTCTTCCGGCTCTGGCACTCAACCTTTGCAACGGGTCCGCTGTCAGCCTGTCGGGCTGCCACCAATCAAGCCACCACACCACGCCTCACTCGTTCTCCGGCCTTCCCCCACGCCACCGCAGACCGAGGCTTATTTCCCCATCAGACCCCGATACCCAGCTATCAGGCTGTCACTACTACTCTCGCTGTCGCTGCCACTACCACTGCCACTGCAGCCAAGCACTGTCAACTGATCAGTGGAGCTCTCCTCCAGGCCCCAGAGAAGGAACCTGGGGATCCGTGGAGGACGGACCGATCTCTCGTAGGTACGAGTCCCCCCATTGGCGCTGCAAACCCACCTCCAAGCCTACTGTATCCCCCCATCCTTCACCTGGCTCTACACATCCGTCTTCACCTGCCTGCTGCAGCTGCCATTCGCGGCCTCGTCGCCCATGAGCTAACCCTGATATCCACGCAGACAGGCACACTGCCCTCGATTCGCCCGCCCCTCTCCCCCCTCCCCCGCTGCTGCTCGTGATGCAATGCGCCCTGCACTGCGAGCAAAGTTAATTATGTAACGATTCTATTTGCTCGTCACTACCTCTGGATTTTTTCTCGCCTCCTCCATCATGTCCGGCCGACCCCAGGTTGGGATCGAACGACTACCCGCACGTCGCATGAGCAACGAGCCGCGAGAATCAATGAATTGCAAGTCGTGTCGGAAGCGGAAGGCAAGTCTGTCTGCTGAAGGAGATCTTCCGTATGTCTGATAGTTTTTCCAGATCAAGTGCAACCGGTTGCGGCCGACTTGCGAGGCTTGCCAGGTCTTCCAATGTCCTTGCATCTATGGTGGGGTCTTCTCAACAACAACACGAGATTATGGTTGACGAGTGTGTAGATGCTGTCCCCAAGAAGCGAGGCCCGAAGACTGATGTGTTGGAAGCGCTGTTGAAGAGGGTAGATGGGTTGGAGAAGCGCTTGAAGGACGAGAAGAAGTCGACTTCGCCCAATACTAATAACGAGGGCGGCGGGTCTGGCGCCGACAAAGAAAGTTCAGATGGCGAGACCAAGTCGCGGCGGCCCACGCTCGACACCCAGACAGTGGCATCCGAAACAGCGGTGTATTCGCCGAGTCCGCTAAGGTAGGGATACAGCTCTTGATAATCGAAAAAGAAAGCTCATCAGTATTAGCGAACCTTCACCTGGAGTGCAACCAGATGTCCTTCTCGACACATATTTCAGTCGATGTCATGGCAAGGCGTATCATATTCTGGACGAAACCAGTACTCGACAACGAATTCAGCTAAATCAAATACCGTCATACCTTCTCTGCGCGATCTATGCTGTCAGTGCAAGGTAGGCCAGGCTAATACAGACCGGTAGATCATAGCTAATATCCCCAGGTACACGGCCCATCCGAATGGATACCATGCGGCTGTAAGACTCAGCGAGGACTACGCTATGCGTGCGAGGGCGGAGTTGGATATCGACGATCCTTCGATAGACTGTTTGCAGGCACTTCTACTTCTTGGGGTCGCATTCACTGCCACGGGGAAAGGAAAGAAGGGATACATGATGCTGGGTAGGTTCGATCCTGACTTTCTTTGGAAGAGGGCTGACTAGATATAGGGAGCGGTATTGCAATGGCAATGGCGCTCGAGTTACATCGAGAATTCGACCACAAGACTCGATTAACAGCAGTCGAGAGGGAGATGCGAAGACGACTATTTTGGACGTGCTATCTAATGGATAGATTTACCGCGTGTGGATCAAAACGACCTTCACTGATCGCCGACAAGTGTATCTTATTACGGCTCCCAGCATGGACACCGAACCCTGCTGCACTACCAGTCGAAGGAGAGTTCTTCCAAAACGGATCGAATCTACAGTACCACGCCGGCTCTGGTAAAAAGAGCCAAGGAAGCAGTGGGATGTTAATAGACATCGTTCGAATACTCGGGATCACGAATCGATATCTCGCAGCGGGGGGTGTGAAAGGAGATAGTCACTTCCCTTGGCATTCATTATCGAATCTCTCCAAAATAAGACAAGATCTGGATATTTGGGCGTCTGGGACACAGGACGTCTTTTCCTCCGTGGATACATTATTCGGTCAATCCGACAGCACGACACTTGTTCTCAGCAAACTTATCTACCACCTCATACATTGTCTAATATATCGACCCTTCCTCCCTATCGATTTGGCGGAGCTTGCGGGGACCGGCCAGCATCAATCATGGCAGATTGAAGCTACGAATCTGTGTTTCCTCCATGCAAACGCCATTGCCGAGTTAGTAGAGTTAGGTATGTCACATATCCCGAAGCTTAAAGTTTGAGATATTGACTGAAATAGGTAAACAATCAGCGTCAATCGAATGGCCCGCCTTCGTTGGATACTGCATCTGCACAGCAGGCACTGTCCACGTCCACGGCACCCACTACAAGGGAACCCACGACTCCGAAGTCTTCTCACAATCCTCTTCCTTCTTGTCTCGCGAAATGCAACAACTATCCGAGCTCCGGTACGCCTGGTCGTCGGTCCAACACCAGCGCGAAACCCTGCAAACGATCTACGGCTGCCATTCAGAGCTTGTGAAGTCGCTTGCCAGTAGTCCCATGCGCTACTCACCTGTTTTCCACCTCGAGGATTTCTTCGATCGTTATTCGGACCTAGGGCAATTCTTCGATGGCGCGCATATAAGCTTTGCGGATATACTGGTTGATCCTACCCAAGAAACATATACGGGCCATGACCTCTATGCTCCAAGATCTAACAGCAATACTTCTCTCTCCTCGAATACACTAAACGACCCTTCTCCAACCCTAGCAAAACGAAAACAGTCTTCCGCGTCGAGAAAAAGACACCTCGATCTCAAACTACAACACGCGAATTCGCATTCACAACGAAATGGCACTAACCACGCGCACCCCGAAAACATGTTATTGACACCAAGCCATACGCTAGATTCGTCTTCTCACCTCGATCCAAATATGGGCATGCAGCAACAATCGATGTTAGACCCTACACCTACACCAATCACACCGTTTCCGCCAGATGGGAGCGGGATGCCGAATTTATCGCAAACGCCATTCTCACCACCCTACGCCTTCTCCTCACTCCATCAACCTGAATCTTACGACCCTATGTTTGGCATGGGGCAGATGGGGTTTTATCCTTCGAATTCCACTCCGAATAATGGCCTGTCTGGTGGATTAGGGAATGGGATGGGGACGGGTGTCCAGGAAGGCATGACGCCCGGAGCGAGAAGTGAAGGGCAGAGCACAGAAGGAGAAAAGGACCCGTTCTTGAGTCTGCTGGAGCAGCTGGCGGAGAACGAACACTCGCGCGGAGGGCCGAGTGAGCTGGATTTCTTTTTAAGTGGGGGGAATGGATGATGTGAACGAAGCGATCTTATACCCAAGTTTTTGGGGACGGTGTAAAAGGGGGGTTGCATCGGGAGCCGGCGTGCTTGGCGGTCGTTTGGAGTTCCGGTCTCGTACGCGACACAGCATTAGGAGTCAAATGTGGGACAGGTATGAGGCAGACGTGTATATACGTGTAAACCACTTGGGATATTTCTATCCTACTCATACATTATCTTCCTACTCTGATTTTAGCTTTCCTGGTCCCCTTTCTTTTTTTTTTTTTTTTTTTCCATTTAACGTGCTTTATCAGTTTACAACTATGTAGCACTATAGGTCCTCTCTGCCTACGAGCCAGAATACCTGACCTCAGTCAGTATATTCTTCTCTATCACTAATCCAAATTCCTTTAATGACACAGAGCCCCCTAGATATCCATTCGGCACAGTAGTTAAGGAAGACTATCCCTATACGTTCTTACCCATATAACTAGACAAACTCTAGTCATTTGCGTCTACTGCCCTGCCAGGAAAAACCATGAAAACCAGCTAGTATAACGTAACCCGTTCGCCGGTCCTAGATCTTAAATCCAAGAGTCAATGGTACGAGATAACGGACTATTACATAGCCTAATGCTATTTAGTAACAGGGGCAGGTATCCAGGCTATGTCTCCGACCTCTCTCTTCCCCGAATATCCTCCTTATACCCCCTCCCAAACCTTAGTTCGAGACCCGATATAATGCCACAATATTCGTAGTTATAGAGAGTAAACTTGGCGTCGTAAATCCGCTAGCCACTATTCCAGGTCTATAGAGGCATGGAAAACATCTACTTATTACAAGGAAGGCTCTCCTGGCTAGAAAAGGGTGCGAAAAGAAGAATAGGATAACGCAACCGAAATTAAGGTCCAAAGGAGTGGCAATGGAAGGGGCTTCGTATTTTGCGAGAAGTTATAAGCTCAAGGCGCTTATAATAGATAGTAGATATTAAATCTAACCAGGGTCCTCTGTAACTATCGATGCGTTTCGTTCTAACTAAATCCAAAACCCTTCCTAATATATTCGTATTCTGGTATTATCATATTAACTAAAGTGGGGTGAAAACTCTGATTTCGGTAGCGGATTCGCCTATATAAATAAAACGCTACAAAACTAAGGCTCTATTAGTGAGGTATTAGTTAACCTATTATCGTAGTGGCTACTAGAAGTCGCATATGTCATACCGCGGGCGGAGTGGCGGCGAGGAGGAGGATATTCGTCGTCGTCGTATGACTTAATCTTGGCTCTGCAGACTCTCAATCGAGAGCTGGAGGTTCGTAGAGGACACCGCGTATAGGTGTTGAGTCTTCGCCCTCCTTAGTCCCCTTTCCCCGCTCCCCATAACCAGCAAATTTTCCGGGGGTTGTTGAATGCCCGTCTTGGCTTTCCCCAGAGATTCAGGGGAAATCTGGGGGAAGCGTGTTGGGATTCACGTGTCGCGCTCTCCAGAAGCGTGGAGATATTGCGCCTCAAGTTTCGAGGTGCGGGATAGTCTTATTCGTGTATTCTCGGTTTCCATCTCGAGTCCCTTCCCTCTAATGTCTCTGCGAAAATCTCAACGGCGACGTAAGTGAAGGCGGTGTGTTTTCAGCCTCGCATTACCACTCTTCCCTCATGTCTCAACCCTTCTACGAAATACAGTAGAAAACCAGTCCCGAGGCAGGCTCCCGACGAAGTTCTGCAAGAAAAGTCGGCCCGACAGGACCGGGATCTCTTGTCTCAGTTTTCGCACTCGTCCCTCCCAACAAGGTGAGTGGCCCACCAGTGGCACCCACACATGGCGGGGTACGAAACGCCATAATCTCACTCCCCCGCCAAAAAACGCATCGCGATCGCGGGGTTGTCCTCGCTGAATCTTCGCCCTCACATTTCACATTTCACATTTCACAATAAACACTTTTCGGACTCTCAAACCCAACCATAGTAATGCCGCTGTCGATCATTGGCTCCTGGCCTTTCTTAGGGTTAGGGCTTGTTTATCCAACACTCCGTTTTTAAGATATTCGAGACGATGCTTTAGATCCTGTGTCTGAATACCCCGGAGGCTCTAAAATTACCGTCTCTACGCGAATACGCTGCTTGCGCACCTGGGGAACCCTCGCTATTTGGGTCTGGTTTTGCGAGGTTTGCCTAGCTATACCCTGCCGTTCCATCGCACGGTGATGCTCGAGGCCCCCCGCAAAGGCCTTTTTACAGGGGATTTAAGACATCTCAGATCCTACTAACCTCCGAGCGTCCGGAGGCTCTTTACAGGGTTGGGCGAAAAAGTCTCTATTTCTTGTTAGAAAAGTATTGCGCAATTATTTCCCTTTGCCATGCAAAACATAACAAACTGAACTCGCGAATCGCTTGGTAAGAGTTCATATATATGCGGGAAATTGAATATAAAAGCAGAGCAGGGTTGGGCAAAGGTGGAAGAGAACGCTCTAAGTGGAAAAAGTCTGCTAGTTAGTGCATGGACACCCTTTACCGCAATCTCAAGAAAGCGGCGTGTGAGCTTGGTTCAATAGAGTAAAGTTGCCGAGCAGAACAAGAGCACGTGAGTATTGCAACGGCACTTCTTGCCACCCATTCTCCTGAAATTCGGTTGAAGCTTGGCAGGAAGAAGGAAGGACGCGAGTTAGGGGGGGGGGGGGGGGGGGGGGGGGGGGGGGGGGGGGGGGGGGGGCCTTGACTCGCTGCAGCAGCACGTCATTGGCCAGGGTGCGCCGTCCGCCCACTTCTCGCAAAAGCCACCAAAGAAGCAAAGAGCGGCGCGACTGGACGACGAGCGGATTTTGCTGGGCACAAACCCTCCCTCGGGTCTGGGGCGCGGCAGGGAAACTCAAAGCACGGCAGGCAGCACTCGGGATTCCAGGAGGGGGGGGGGAGGATGTTGGGGAAGAGGCGCAGGGCGGGCTAGGGTAGGTCGAAGAGTTGAGAGGACTCTTCCTTCGACAGATAGACTTCGTCTCGAGACGAGACGAAACGAAACGAGTCTTCGAAACGGGCACGACTCGACAAGATTCTTCTCGAACAACTGCGAATACGACACTTGGTCCACGCTCGACGGTCGGGCGAACAAAGGGTACGGTGCGAGCACGGGCTCGAGTCGAGGCTACACTTCGCCGCCCTCATACACGAACGGACTGCGATTGGACTTCGAGAGTGGACGAGGAAGATTCAATTGCGAGCCGCAAGGAAGATATGGGTACTTGGACTTGGCAACAATCATGACATAACTGCCATTGAATACAGTGGATTAGATGGCTTCTTTCGGCGGGAACCACTCGAACGGCCAGGTCGTGTTCGTGGTCACCACCACGACCTTCGTCCTGGCTTCTGTCTTTGTCACTGCAAGAATTATATCCAGATTTGCGATATTGAGGAGTCGGGCTGTTGATGATTGGGTTATGATTGTTGCCTGGGTGAGTAGATCAATGGCACCGGGGGATTGAGCTAATGTGTTGGCTCGACAGGTCATTGCATTCGGACTTTCGTTCTCAATTGATTATGGGACTTCAAAAGGGTTGGGGAGACATGATGTCGATATACCGACAGAATGGCTTTCTGCTCTGCGGAAAAGCGAATATGCTTTTACAATTCTCTACGTACGTCCCCCTCCCTTCTTCAATTGAGGATCACCAACTGACGAAAGTAGAACCCCGCCTTGATGGCGACTAAGACCTCCATCCTCATCTTCTACCTCCGCATGTCTCGCAACACTCAGAAACTCCTCCGCATCGCCTCCTACGCTACATTAGCAGTCGTCAACATTGCTGGCGTGGTCCTCACATTTCTGAACGTCTTCCAATGCAGCCCCGTCAGTGCGGCATACGACCTCTTGCGAACAAACAGCAACAGCACCTGCATATCGATCGTCACGCTGTACCTGGCTTCCGCACCCGTGAATATCATTACCGATCTTGCGATCTTGGTTCTGCCGATTCCGGTCCTGACGGGCATGCGATTGCCACAGCGGCAGAAAACGGTCCTCGTGGTGACGTTCACGCTGGGTATTTTCGTAACCATTGTTGATGTGGTGAGGATTTATTACCTTCAGCAGGCTGCCGATCATTCAGAAGTTGCGCATACACGACTTGGGAGTGGTACGGATTTTGCGTACAATGCGAGCATTGCATTGATGTGGTCTGCGGTCGAGGTCAATGTGGGGATTATTTGCGCCTGTATTCCGACATTGAAACCACTCATCAAGCGGATTCTACCGTCCATGATTACGGATCGGACAAGAACTAACTCTGGAACGGACAAGGAGACTTCATTCTCGTCTCCGGTACGAGATGATAGCAATGACGTGCCTCATCGGATAGAATCAATCGAGATAGCCACTGGAATCCAACCTTTACCACAAGCTCAGCCTGGAGGAGATTCCGAGCAACAGATAAATATGATGAATTTCCTGACCACACCCGCTGATGTGGGTCGGAGCAAACAACAACAGGAAATGGACATGATGGATTTCCTCACCACTCCAGATATGGACCCGAGCATGATCAGACGGACTCAAACTCAACCCACTATAAATCGAACCAACACAGCTGCCACAGACAACTCAGTCTACTTCGGTTTTGTGAACATGAAGAGACCTAGAAGTATGCTCAAGACAAAGGGCATGGAATCTTTCAAATACTGCGCCATGGTCACAATACTTTTCTTTTTGTGGGGCTTTTCCTACGGACTATTGAACACTTTGAATTTTGAGATCAGCACAATCGCGAATCAAAGCACGAGTCAATTCTTGGGGTTGACTACAGCCTACTTTGGAGCATATTTCTTTGGAGCTATGACTGTTGGCCAAGTGGTTCTTCGCCGTTGGGGCTTCAAGGCAACATTCATTTGTGGTCTCTGCATATACGGCACCGGTACATTGATGTTCTGGCCATCAGCTGTCCTACTCTCCTTCCCTGGCTTCATCATCTCCAACTTCGTCGTCGGATTCGGACTCTCTGTGCTCGAAACAGCCGCGAACCCATTTCTCGCCCTCTGTGGGCCCAGTGAACACGCTGAATTTCGCCTCCTCCTCGCTCAGGGTGTGCAGGCAATCTCTAGCATCCTCTCCCAGCTCCTCGCCGAAAAGGTTCTTTTCTCAAGGGTTGCCTCCCTCATCGACGTCCAATGGACCTACCTATCCGTCGCCCTCTTCACTGTCATTCTCGCGCTCTTCTTCTACTATATGCCGCTCCCAGAAGCCAGCGACACCGACCTCCAACAGCAATCTGAAGACCTGGGTATCTATCGCTCGCAAACCGTCTCCTTCTCCTTCGTCAAAACAAAACTCCCGCTCATCTACACAACTCTGGCCTTGGCGATAGCTGCACAATGGGCATACGTGGGTGCCCAAGAAGCAATGTCCGCCTGGTTCGGGCAGCTCCTCTCTACCACCACACCTGTATCCGGACACCTCACCCTGTCAATGGATAACTACGTCCTAGTAGGCCACACCACCTTCGCCGTCGGACGCTTTCTCTTCGCGCCCTTATGCCTCATCATCGCGCCTCGCATCCTCCTCACATTCATCCTACTCGGCTGCCTCATTTTCTCTACCCTCACATTTGCCCTCTCCCTCAACGCGAACGGCATCGCTGGCCCCGCGCTCGTGTTCTTCTTTTTTGAGGGCCCGGTCTTCCCGATGGTTTATGCGATGGGAATAAGAGGGTTGGGAAGGAGGACCAAGGTCGGCGCTGTGTATATCACGGCCGCCACTTCTGGCGGCGGCGCCTTTCAATTCGTGATGTGGGCTGTCCAACAAGTTGACCACAAATCGGTCAAATATTCGTATTGCGTCATCGTTGCCTTGTTTGCGTTCTCTTTACTCTTCCCTGCGTATCTGAACTTGGTTCCTGGGGCGAGACACCAGGTTGATCCAGCGAAACTCACTGACCTTCTGGGTGCGTCAAGGAGAGGAAGTGAGGGAGGAGACGGTGGCGATGATAGACCGGACACTCCAGTCAGAAGGATGAGTAGGAAGTTCAGTGTTATCTTTAGCAAAATTTCTCCTGGTGGGCATGGGAACGGAGCGAGAGAGAGCCAGGAGGTGGGGATTGTGGAGCACAGGGAGAGGCAGAGTTGGGGGACGCAGGGGACCGGAGATGGTCTTCACTCTCCTCGGTCTCCTTGAGGAGGATATTGGTGTAAATTTAGCGGCATTGGGACGGCGTTAAATTTGGAAGGATTGTTCTAATATATACTTGGATTTGCCGGGTTGGATTATGGATATGGGTCGGCTGGATGGGTACGAAGAGGATTGATCTAGGGAGGATCTCCAACAACAGGGCAAAGGTATAGGACATGGGAAGCCGTTGTGCTCTCGGGAGTTTGTTTGGAAATGCAGAAGCAGGTTTGAGACCTGGTTCACGTTCATCATTGTGTGTATAGCAAGCAGTCAAGGCGCGGTTATCTCAATGATATCACAATTATCTATCACAGCGCTCGAGCACCAGTGAGGCCGAAATGCAAGTGCGGTCGGGAGAAGAGCGAGCACTTCTCCTTTCAATGTGATCAATTGACTGATGGCGAGATCCGTTGAAACACGAGGAGCTTGAGGGGGCCAGGTTCCCCATGGGGATGAACTGCCGAGACGGGCTGCTTCGCAAACACCTTCGGTGTCTCATCAAATGATGCTCAGACTCGCCGCGATGGGGCGCGGGGTTTTCGTCCCATGAGTTAATCCATTGAATGGTGCTGGGTGGGGAGGGAGGTAGGTGTCTATTGGAGTAAATCCACGAGGTAGCATACTTGTTTCGACTTCGACGGCGCAGAGCGGCGTACGACCTGCTGTTTGGGGAATCCAATGCGGTCGGCTATCGCTTGATGATTCTATCGATTGGAAATGAAATGGATGATGGCATGGTCCTCGCCATTCCAGCGCAGTGACATTCTCTGAGGTCGAAATAAGCGCTGGTTTCCGTTTCAACGGGGCGAAAGAACGCCTCTCCTTTTCGCGGACCCCACCAATCGGATGGCGCTCGATCGCCCGAAACAAGATGCACTGCAGGACTGAACCTTATTTGCACCTCCCTCCCCATTCCTCCAACCACCGCCCAGCAGACTCTCTCCTGATGGAGCGTGATGCTTATGTGAGAGTATGCAGCAGGCAACTTATGGAACGATGCTTCAGCGTTCTCAGCTCCGAAGTCCTGGGATCTTATGAATGCATACTTCTGTTCCTCTTCACTTTCACCGCTTGTTTGCAAGAGGCATTCGGGTAGGTGCATTAGGGACTTGCTTTTCTCGTACTTCTGTCCAAGTCCTCCTCGGCAGTCGACTTTCTCTATACAGATCGTCTAGTCAAAGCACATAGACGGAGAAATAGTCTGAACCGAACGAACGATTGCAGGATCTCGGGACAGGGTTGCAAACTGTTTCCCCATACGAGAGTTCACGCTAGCGATCATGCTTATTCCAAAAGCAGTGTTCACCACCAGGCCCTGTCCCCTTTCTCCAGTCTTGACTGGTCAGTCCATCATCTGATCTCAATCATACCCGCCAAGATCGAAACAACTTTGGCCCCAAACCCGCACATCCCTTGCGCCGTTTGAATGAGGGGGGCCATGTTCGGGTGTTCGTGCGCCATCTGTTATAACCACTACCTCTCTCCTTTCTGCTCCCCCGGATTTGTCTTTCTTCTCTAAGGCTGGCCTATCTTCTTGCATTGTATTTGTTAGCTTGTACATTCCTTCGTTCTCCTTCCCCTCTCTCATTAACTTTCCCTTCCCCTCCTCACGGTCCCTCACTCCGCCAAGATGAAGTCACTCCTCCTCCTCACCTTCCTCAGCGCCGTCTCAGGCCTCCCGCGTCCCTCTCTTTTCACCGAAAATCCCGCGCTCTCATCCAAATCTCTCCTCACGCGCGAAACGCCCGCCGCAGCGGCCGCCAACACGACAGCCTCGTCGTGTTCACAAGCCGTGCTCGCCCTCGCCTCCGGCATCCAGTCCAACATCGCAGATCAGAACAACGAGTTGGCCACGGTCACGGCGCTCGGGAATGTCCTGGCGCAGAACCCGATGGATCTGACGCTCTACTCGGCCACGCAGGCGAGCCTGTTGAGCTTCGTGCAGAAGGGGATCCAGATCCGAGAGGAGAATCAGAGGATTGCTCCTGCTGGGAATGCAGCGATTGCTGGACTGGTATGTTGGAATTTTTAGTTTTGGAGGAGGAGGGGTGCGCGCTGGTTTGCAAAGGAGAGAGTGAGAGAGGTGGGAGTCGGGATTGGTTGGGAGTCGAGAGGCTGATGATGAGTGATACAGGCAACGGTTGCAATGGCACAGGTGGCGGAACTGTCGCTCACGGTGAGCCTGGCGTTGGGAGGGAACGGGACGGATGTTGCGAAGGCTAATGCGGTACGGTTCCCCTTCCCATCGTTGGACTCATGAGAGATGAAAGAGGGCTGACTTGGGTGTGTCAGACTGTTGAGACGTTGAAGGGTGATTTCAAGGGCGGCATCAAGCAGAATATGATGAATCTGGCTGCTGTGAGTTTTCCGTACTCGTGTTACTTGAGGGGATCACTAATGGTTTTCAGGCTACGGCGAACTGCACAATGTCTGCTGCTACGGGAAGCACTGCTGCGAAAAGTGTTGCATATTGACGGACTGTGGAACAAGCACGTTCTTTCTATAGAATGTGATGCTGGGCATCGCAGTAGCATGCGTTGTAAATTTCATCCCTCCGGAATGTCTCCTCTTCCCAAGCTATCTGAACACCACCGCTTTTCCTCAGGCTGCTTAACCTAATTACACGCTTATTGGAAATCATTTAATTTTTAATAAGGGCGCCTTAAAAAGCCCTCCCCCTTTTGCAAGTCTATGACATAAAAACCACCCAAGTTCAGATTGCGCGCTTCCAGCGTGAGGAACGACATCAAATTCTGCTAGCATATACACATCATGGCATTGTACTCGCACTTGTCTTCCCGGGTTCTATAAACGCCGCCGACACCCACTGTACCAAGAAATCTGTCTTTCTGTTTTTAGCATACACCTCTAGGCCCATATATAGTCGGGATACGCTTACCTAGCGGCGCTCCCCAGCCTCTTAATACGATTATTTAACCACCGCGACTCTTCACAACAGTACTAGCATTACTGAACCAACACCAGACACCCGTCTGTCTGTGTTCCTAGATGTAGCGGCACCAAACTAGACTTGGCTATGTTCACATGAAATTTGTCGTAAATTAATATGTTTATTACAGCTGAGTTACGAGAGCTTTCACGGTCTTCTGTGGCGGCTTGTGTAGTCATTGTTGATTCTCTCCCGTCTCTCCCACCGCCTTCTATCGTTGTCGCCAGTTTTCCCGTCTTGGAGGGTTGTGATTTCTTAATTCCTGAAGTATATTGCCTGCTTCTTCTGGGAAGATAGAACTAGCGGCTTCTAGGACTTGTGAGGCCGTAAGTCTAGGGGAAATTTCTTGTTCCAACCCCAAATCCTGATTAGGCATCTCTTCTGACGGGCCCTTTATTTTCGCAAAGGGGCTAGCTCCATGCTTGATAAGCAGAGAAACTATTTTTAAATAGTCCCTCCCATATTCATGACCGGGAAATCTGTGGACTAAGTTGGCAACACCATGCAATGCCTTCTCCCAAGCGCTCGAACCAGAATCGTACCGCGCGTTTGGGTCTGCTCCAAGCTGGAGAAATAGCTCTACCATCTCAAAGCATGGGGGAGGATAATCGCAACTTTGGTGATTATTTGCAATACTCGGAACATATTGCAGCATCGACGCATATGAGGCTGCGATTGGGCGACCCGAAGACTGGTATCTGAGCTTTTCCCGAACGTAAGGAACAAGCCCATATATGACTGCCAAACTTAAGAATCCATGAATATTAGCGTTGTGCATGAACCCAGCCATTCCAGAATTGTATGTCTGCCAGTATTGATTATGTTGTAAGTATGGATCGCCTCCACCCCTGCATGGGGTTGATAGAAGGTGAGATAGTCGGTCAAGGATAGTGCACTGGGGATTCCTTGTTTGATAGTTGCTGTGGTATGCATAGATTAATGCAGCGTTTGATAAAAACCAAACATGGTCGTCGAATCTACGTCTGGAATCGTCGTCTTGTGCTTCAGTATCGATTTCCATTCTGTCAAGCTCGAGTAAGTCCACGCAGGATCTCAACATACTCGTGGCAGGGTTAAATCGAGTTCCGGCGGTCAGTGTAACCAATTCGTTCCATTTTAGAGGATGCTCTATGTAATCTCTTGCCGTTCTATGTAGCCATTTAATAGTCTTCGGGCTGACGCCAAAAAGGGTATACTGTCGATAGCGTTCTTGGGAATCGTCCATGACCTCGAGTAGTCCTGCACAACGAGCGGTGAGCTGGAAGGATATATCTTGAAGGTTTTTCAGAAGATGACCAGAAGTAATCCTTGGTGATCTGGCAGGACTGATATCCTCGTTTATGGCAAGGTATAGCGCCAGAGTTGTAAGGGGTGGTGTGTCATCCGTGGACACCATACAATTGCGACAATTCTGGGCTGCTCTCATAATTTGAAAAGCCATGGACGCCCATTCCTTATAGATTGGCTCAATTAGACTGAATAGATGATCGTAGAGTGGTTCAAGCTCTCTAGGGAAGAGGCGCAAGCGCTTTTGTAGATCTGGAATAGTGTCACGGTTGCGAAAACCTTCCAGCAGTGATCTGACAACAAGCTTCACCCACAAGAAGACTCCATCAGCCTTTTGCACAATCTCTTGGACGAGGACAAATGCGGATCTCGAATCATTGGACTCCAGTCTGCGATATGCCTCACTTGATTGGAGCCTATCGATCACAAAGCGCTCTATGTCTGCCCACGTGAGGTCTTGAAGCCGTAAGCTTGGCCGGTCCCTGAAAAGATCCTGAAAGACCACCCATGGTCTGCTCGATACGCAAATTTTGACATGCGGCAAGCACGAAATGCTCTTGAAGAATTCGCCAAGCTCCTCATGATCTCCGTCGTATTCGTCGAGTCCGTCAATGAAAAGAACGAACTTGAGTGGCACCACAGTCTGTTTTACAAGGCTTTCGAAAATTGCCATCAACCTTTTCAGAGACCAAGATATGATTGTGCCATCACCAATCTGATTTAAAAGGTGAGAATAAGTCCTTGCCCATTCCAACGGTATTAAAATTGGAATCAATTGAGGATACTGGCTCCAAATATCATGCAATATGGTTCTTAGAAGCCCTGCCTGAGATTTCTGCTCACAAGTGCCGCTATTCCGGAAAAAGAAGGCTGATGTGGCAAGAGGAGTCATAGCGGCCCAAGATCGCAGATGTGCTTTCGTTCTGGAATCTTCGTAGGTGAATTTGAGTAGTGTAGACTTTCCTGAGCCGGCTTTTCCATTTACCCAGTATATTCCACTGCCCGACGCAAGCCACTCCGAGAAGTTACTCCAAAAAAGCTGCTGTGCTGTCTTATCATGGAAAATCCATTCGAAGGTTTCCTGGTGGGCATCTGCAACATCCTCGTAACGTTGTGTCATTGCAGAAAATGCAAGATTTGCAAGTATCTTTCGCTGAACGCTCGATCTGAAGAGGTCTTCCTCTTCTCGAGAAACGTCGAGCATTTCGACGGACGGAATAATCATATTGCTTGTCGATAATTCATGATATTGCTCAAATTGGCTGCCACGAACCAACGATGCGCGAGTCTGGCGATTCTCATTCTCTGAAGAATTGCCGGCGCGGCTCAGCAACTGCGTGAGAGTACGGGTTTGATCTCTTATGTCGGTGGAAAGACGTTCAGGGGGGTTTGGCTGTAGACTTAATAACGCCGCGACAATCTGTTTCGTCTTTACGTCTAGCAGGTTGAATCTGTCTGATACCTGTTCAGACAGTGTATCAAGTTGTCCTCTATGGTGGCTCAGAAGGTAGCCTAAGCTCGGATGTCGAGGGACATACCTTAAAGAAATCAAGACACGAGTTTCCAAGGCCTGGCTTAATGTGGCTAGCCTCTTGACTAGACCGTCTGTCTCTCTGCGTGACCATGCACTCTTGATCGCTTGCTGAAAGCTTTTCCATGCTCGATGCTTCCCAGCGACTTTCAAGCCATCTATACGGGTGAGTATCTCCTCCGCCAATGCAACAGCCTCATCACAAATTTTCCGGAAGTCTTGTGATACATCTTGGCTATCGCGGCCGGAGGTGTTGCGGAGCTTCAGAATCAGTGCACGTAGGTCGGCCGTGACAAGATGAAGTTCATCGTCAGCAGCCAGAGACCCCCGTGTTGATCTATAGAGCTCGCGGCTCTGCGATAGCAATTGGCGGCCGAATTCAACAAACTGAACAACGTTTCCTGCCAGCGATAGCGCCGTTAAAGGATCCATAGTGAGTTGTTCGTGCTGTCGAGGTTTTCCATGAACTTCAGCGAAGAGGCTCCAGATATGCAAATGCTAAGTGATGTTTGAAAAGGTAACAGCTTCATGTGTATGAGTGAAGTGTCACGCCCGACAGCCTAACCATATCAGCTACCTGAGAAAGCCTGTCAGAGAGCCCAGAGCGCAGTGTGGACTCCGATAGGCTCGATAATCGATCGATCGATAATCGCGCTAATTAGTCGATAATCGATAATTACTAATAATTATTAATCTGAGCACTGCACTTGGAATCACATCAGGGGACAGGAGCTTTTGATTTGATTGATTGGCAGGAACCAGGCGCCCGATTGCTTAGTCAGCGCGTTTTCAGCAGCTGAGTTGAGCAAGGGAAGAACCTCTACATTACAGTCAGGCACCTTCGTGACGTCCTGTGAAGTAGGAAAACAAAAAAGGAGCCTGGGACTTGCCCTAGGACCCCACTGTGTGGGCGACCATATCGGGCAGTATCTAACTAACAAGGAAAGGACAGCTATGTACAAGAAGTGGTGCAGGGCACCGGGTAAGGTGGGTGTGTCGAAAAGTGCCCTGAAGTGAGAGTGAAAGTGCTGGAGACAGAGAGGAGAGCAGAAGGGGCCTCTGGCCCCTTCTATGCTCTTCCTCGCTGGCGCTCAGACCTCCTCCGTTTTTCATACTAGTGGGTACAATTTTTTTTTTGCGATAATTACCGTATTATCTGGTGTATATGATCATGGTCTTAAAGCCCGTTCCACACCTAAATAATTCGTCAGGGAATGGTTCTAAGCCTGAGAGGGTCTAGTAATACGTCGATCCCACTAAAAACCGCTTAGTATATGGTATTGTGCTTACCCCCCTAATTCCTCACTCCTTTATTTCTCTCACTCATTCTCTCTCCTAAACTCCCACCCGCACCACTAATTGCTCTTGATATTACGTGCCACAAATTATATACATTGAGAATTAGCTGAGAAATCTGCTAGAATATTACTTGAATTACCTCAAATTAGCCAATTAAGTAATAGTTTAGTAATATCAGACCATGGTCTTATTACTAAGCTATTGCTTGAAGAATTGCTCTGGAAATAGTCTTTTATTAAGGGGTGGTCCTAAATAAGAAAGGAGTTATATATACCAGATAATATAATATAGGGCTAGTGTGCTATATTTTTAGTAATATAGGTATTACTTACTAATTACTTATATCTCCTTCCTGCTTAAATTGAATTTTAAAGACCTTAATACTATTTCTTTATTTAATAAAATATAGTTCATACTAGTAAAAAGGCCTGGCTCAGGGCAAAAAGATAATAAATAACTAATAAGTTTATTAGTAAAGGTACGACTTTATAGTCTGAGCCAGGCCTCCTTACTAGTATGAACTATATCTTACCGGATAAAAGAATAAACTCGAAAAATTAATATAATATTTTATTAGATAAAGAAATAATCTAGAAATTTTTATTAAAGTAAGTATAAGCAAGAAAGGAATTTAGGTAATTAATAAATAATTTAATATATAAAATATTAATTAGTTTATATGTAATGGGCATACGTGATGGCGTATGGACAGGTGTCAGATATCGTGGATCTAGTTTCCTATTTTAGGTAAAGCTTGCGATCGGAATCATACGGGCAATCGGAATCGTACGGATCGCATAGGATCGTGTTTCCTAGTTAAGTAAAGTGCTTTGCAGGCTTGGCTAAGCACTAGGGAACATATAGAGAGACGCTCCTAGCTTTGGAAAGGGGCATTAATTAGTCTTTTATTAGAATCGATTCTTGGAATCAGTTACACTTGCAAGCGTCACTCTATAGCTTACTTACCTTGACTACTTGTACATTACCCTGCTATTACATACCTCACATTCTAATTAATCCAACCTTCGGGGAGCAGTTCGTTACAAGGTAGTCAAGCTATTAATAGACAAAATATTAATGGCTAGAGCATTAACCAGGAGAAGCGTCTCTACTACTACTAGGGTAACCTAACCGGGCACCCAGGGGAGCGCCCAGTCAAGCACTCTTCGTACTGCCTAATCAGGAGAAGGAAGTAGAACTCAGACGCCCCCAGAACTAGCGGGTAGGATAATAATAACGGAGAAATTAGCGGCAGCTCGCCGTTATATTACTGAGTTAGAAATAGAGATATAACAGAGAGAAGATCTAGAGGAGCTAGAAGCTCAGATCCGTTATCTTAAAGATATTCGGATACCCGATATAGAATCCGTTATACTCCCGGCGGTACCCTTGGTTCGGAGGGCTCCAAAAACCCGAGAACTGCCTACTTACCGGGGAAAGAGTATTAAAGAAGCCCAGGACTTCTTCTATTAGGTAGAGTTAAAGTAGTATAAAGACGGCAGGATTACCTGGGCTACTAATATAGTAAAGGTTATATATTATATTTCCTATTTTGAGAATATAGCTAGGAATATCTGGAAGTATAGAGAGTAATTAGTAGGTATTAATACTATGGATTAGGAGACCTTTATTAAATTTATAAAGAATTCTATCTTGGATCCAGAGAACTATAGTAATAATACCCTTACCAAGTTTAAGAATACTAAATAATAGCCAGACTAGAATATCTAAAGCTTTATATTTTACTTAGATAGCCTATTAGATAACTTGGGATATATAGGTTTATTATAAGAGCAAAATAACTTATTTAGTAGTTTAAGGCAGGAGATTCGGGACAAGATTAATTATTAAGGAAATATTTTATAAGAAAAAGAGAAGCTTATTTCTATAGCTATAAGAGTTAAGAATAATTTAAATCTGTCTATTTAATAGAAATATAATAATAAGCTAATAGAATAGTAAAAGAAAAGAAATAAGAGAAAAGAGAAAGGAAATAATAAAGGAAAATAGAAAAGAAATATATCCCTATTATAAGGTTTATAAAACTGAAGTAATAAAGACATAGTAATAGGGTCTAATATAGTACCTATATTAGAATCTATAAGACTAGATATAATTTGCTTTACTTACTAGAAGAAGAATTATTATATTACTACTTGCCCTAATTAAGGGAAACCGACTTGCTATAACTATAATAAGTCTAGCTATAAAGTATATAAGTATTTAGAACTAAAAAAGCCGGGAAATAGGTATATCCTATAGTAATTATACTTATTTATATTATAAAAAGTAAGGCCCCTAAAACGAGAATAATAATTAAAGTTATTATTAAGATAATAAAAAATAAGTAAAAGATTAGAATATTAGTAAATTCGAATATAGAGGCTAATTATATAAAAAGGAGATTAGCTTTAGATATAGGTATTCTATTAATATTAAAAGTAACTCTTTTATTTTTACTAGAGAGAAAAAGAATTTATTTATATAGAGATTATATTCTTGGGATTATTACTAAGGATATATTAAGGAACTAAAAGAAGGCTAATATATATTTTATATTATATAATTTCGATTTGAACTATATTAATATAATACTTGAATTTCTATAGCTTTACTAGGTTAACTCCCTAATTTCCTTTAGGGAGGTAATATAAAAATACCAGATTTAATTATAGAAGATTAAAGTTCTAAATACTAGGAAGTTTACTAAAGTAGTAAAATATAAGATATATATTTTTCTATTAATTACTTATCCTATAATAAATAGCTAAAGAATTACTACTATTACTATTAATAAAATAGTTATATTTCCCAAGAAATATTAGGACCTTTTCCAAGTATTCTCTATAGAGGCTATAGGTATACTACCCGACTACTATATAATAAAGTATTATATAAATCTGAAATTAGAGTTCTAACTATTATATAATCCTATATATACTTTATTAGAAAGAAAGCTTAAAGTTCTTTAGGAATATCTTAATACTAGCCTAGAGAAGAAATAGATCTATTATTTTACTAGCCTAGCTAGTACCCTAATTATATTTGTTCTAAAGAAAGAAGGCAGCTTATATCTATATATTAATTACCGGAATCTAAATAGAATTATTATTAAGAACCGAATACTATTATTACTTATTAGTAAGATTATAGATAGGCTTTATAGAATAAAGATATATATAAAGCTAGACTTAAAGAATACTTACTATTAGTTATAAATATGAGAAGATAATAAGTAAAAAACAATATTCCAAATATATTATAGATATTTTAAATATTATATTATATTTTTTAGATTATCTAATACTTTAGTAATATTTCAGGTATATATTAATTATATATTAGTAAGCCTTATAGATATTATTTATATAGTCTATCTAGATAATATTTTGATTTATTTAGAGAACCTAGAATAGTATATAATAGCAATCTAATATATATTTAAATAGTTATAATAATATTAGCTCTTTATAAACTTGGCAAAATACGAGTTTAATATAGAGAGAATAGAGTTTCTAGGGTTTATAATTAGCTCAGATAGTATAGAAATAGAAGCTAGTAGGGTTATAGCTATTAGGAAATAGCTAGCCCTAAAGAATAATATCCAAGAAGTCTAAGTATTTCTGGGTTTTACTAACTTCTACTAAAGGTTTATCTATAAATACTTTAGGGTAGTAAAAGAGTTAACTAATTTATTAAAAACTAGTAGAAACCCATAATATTATTTTAGCTAAATAGATAAGGTAGATAGGGCTTTTAAGGAACTATAAATTATATTTATAATAGTACTAATTCTTTATTATTTTAATCTAGTCTTAAAAATTTATATAGAAATAAATATTTCAGAATTTATAATTATAGGTATAATTTCCTAGTTCTTTAGTAAAAGAGCAGAAGCCAGGTAATACTTTATTGCCTTTTATTTAAAGAAAATAACTATAATTAAAAGCAGGTATAAGATATATAATTCTGAGCTCTTAGCTATTATTTTAGTATTTCGTATCTAGTAGTATTACCTAATATATATCCGGTATACTATTATTATTAAAACAGATTATAATAACTTAAAATACTTTATAACTAAGAGAAAACTAAATAGTTAATAAATAAGATAAGTAAAAAAGCTAGCTATTTTTGATTTTATTTTAGAATACTAGCCAGAATATAGTAATCTTACTA